ATAAGCATCACCTCTTCTGGTGTTTGAAAGCTTTTATAGTACCAGCGATGCCTGCTGTTGGGAAGAATCGTACATGGTTCGCCTACCCAGTCCGGGTAAATGAGCTTGACCGGCAAGATGTCTGTGTCCAACACGGAATGAGAGTCACAAACCGCGAGAGGATCTTTGTAGATTGTCTTGATTGGTCGCCAAACATTGATAACCTGGAATCGTGATTGCAATAGTCGAGGCGCTTCTTCGCCCAAGTGACGTTTAACTTGGTTCATAGCCCCCCACTCTGACTGGTCGATGTGAGCTCTTTTCACTGGTCGGCGTTCATCATCAGAGTGCACGGCTGAGGGATTCGGTCTCCGAATGGTGTGGTCGAAAATGTGCAACCGTGAGGCGCCAGTGCTAGGTATGGATTAAGGATGTTCCCGATTACGACGGCCTAAAGGAATACTTACATTTGCGATAGAAGCTTTTCGATCTCGGGGTAATAAACGTCTTTTATTTCTTGATCACTCGCAAAATCCACTAACTGACTAGCGTGGCGACAGAACTGAAAGCCATGGCTGTCGAGAGTGAAGCTGCTTTCGTTCCCAGTGATATCGTGAATAACAGTGGCAAAGTCGACTGATGGCTGGGTGAATGTGCTTCGTTTTCCCGCAATGCTTGGTGCATGCTCACTTCCATCGCCGGGATCTCGATAGTAATTGATGGTGGTTTCCACATTGCGTGGACTGGCCAGTCTGGTCATGGCAGGAATGTTCAAGGTGTAGAGAAATTCTGAAATGTCGGGTGACCGTACTTGATTCTACCGGAACAGCCAAACTTTATCTGAATACTTAGGCATGGAGTTGGGGGTGGCACGAGAAAATAAAGTTCCTCGCAGAAAAAAAAAAGAAAAGAAAAAGGGGGGACAAGAAATACGCCCTCGTATCCAGCAAGTCCCAAAAGGGGAAAAGGCCGAACTCCGCGTGCGTAAAAGCCATTAAACATCTGAACAATACAATACGTAAGGCCCACCCATTTGCGAATATCAAGGCTCTTGGGATTCAACAATAAACAAAACAAAACTCAGCATCGAGGAATTTGGAGAACAGTGAACCATCTACAATAAAATTAACGTAATAGGATTCTAGCATCTCGATTGTGTATCGTTCTGCGTCTTGGGCTTATTCGGCGATCTGCAGACTTGATTTGGCTCGCCCAGTTAGCTACAATTGAAACTCCAGAGTTCATTTAAGTTATGAATGAACAGTTTCGTAAAGATCGTGGGTCAAGGACTTCTAGACATTCGTCCTTTGTATAGCCGATGCTGAATACATACTAATTCAAAGACTCTGAGACGTTGAGAACCTGGAACACAGTGTCCGAAGCGTTATGGCAACGAAAAAGAGTCAGTAGGAAACATAATATTCATTTGAGTGTCGCAATTAGGATGGCTTTGCAGACCGAAAGCGAATTATAGTCGTATCTATGTGCAGCCACGTGAAGGATTCGGGATCGGTGCATAATTGTGCTCTTCATGCTGCAACCCGAGGAAGTCACGAATCAGTCGGAACTAGGCTAGTAGAGATAATGGCTACAATCCTCCAGCAAGATGAGATCGCATCGGCCGCAGAGATTTTGGCTCACGCAGGAGCTGTCAAGCCCATCAATGCGCTCCAAGCTCTACAAAGTGACAGAAAGAAGTCCCACTCGGAACAGAATGTCGAGACAATAATCATGGCGGGCCAGGTATCCAGGCTCCGTTGGTTGATTGATCTTCGCTGAGATAATATTATAGGAATGCCATATGACTCCCTTGCTACAGCAGTGCTCGACTTCCATCTGCATACGCTGCGATTTCTCCTTGATCAAGGGCTGAACATCGAAGCAACCAGCCAATTCGGGACACCAATACGTGCTGCAAGTTCAAAGAGGCACGAAAAGATTGTCGAAACGTTGTTAAGCTATGGTGCAAACATTGTGAGTACAAGAGAGTTGAAGCAGCTGCAAGGAATGGCCATCTCTCAACATTGCAAGTTTTGGCGAAGGTAGCGGAAAAGGGGTCACATGTCGGGTATGATTCCGACGTCGATCTCGCGCTAAAAGCCGGGACTGCACATGGTCACTTGGCTATTGTCGAGCTTTTCTTTGGATCTTGTTCTGAGTCCAAGCGACAGTATTATCGATACGGCTTGCGAGGCCGGGCACGGGCATATTGTGGAAGGGTTTGATGATCCTAAGGTAATGATCACTTCTCAGACATTCCAACATACAAACGGTCATTAGACCTGAGTGAGAAGGAGGGCTCACATCTACTGAGATTGCTACTAGCCTCTGAAAAATAGACAATTTGCATCTTTCTCAGTTCCAATCTTTTTCCGTCAAGTGAAAATTAACCGCAAGTGAAAACAAGGTAGACAAAACTTGAGAAAGCTATCAACGTACCAAACCGAGGTAACTTACCAAGCCTGAGCTCATGTTAGGCTTGGAAATGGTTACTGTCTACGTTCCAGAGTGGCGCTATATTTCATCTCTTAACTTGGTCTCCTTTTGTTTGATCAACGGTCATCTGTACAACTGCACAGATGACTTTCAGGACATCAATATGACAACATGCTGGAGTCAAGCATCACAAGCTACTTCATCATTGACAAGTCACGTATGTTTGAATGACAGGAAGCTTTGAATCTGAAACTGAGCCAAACCATCAATCTTCCATCTAGTGAGGCGAACGGCAAGCTTTGCAAAATAGAGAATGTAGGCGCTTGCCCCTGAGAACAGTTGACCATAAGAAGAAACGCATCGTCCTAACATGGCCGACTTGACTGAGTCTGACGATCACTGTTCGCACGGATTTTGATTGAGGTAGAACAAGAAGATACTTAGATGAAATTGATTACACTCTTCTCTCATGCGTTGGCCAGCCTTCGCGTCAACATTCTGACCTAAGCTTTGGCATGAAGACCAAAGATCATTGTACCGTACGCCTAGGTCTGTGGGTATCGTTGCACTCAAGATATCAGCAGACCCATAGTTCTTAAAGTGCCCGTAATTACTTTGGATAGCTTGGAAAACGCGTGCACCGAAATAAGCGAATCCATTCTCTACTTCTTCTGAATACTTATGTCCGTGTATGGTCTACCATCTTGTGCCTTGCAATCAGACTGGAAGCATACTTTTGAGTATGACTCGGTTGAAGCCATGAACCCAGCATGCGTGCAAACGTTTGATTGATAATTGCTCAAAAAATAGTTGATGTAGGCTTCGCCTGACACGCCTACCAATTCGACTAATATCACAAGATTCCTTGGCCAAGCCAAGCCCCAAATCGTCTTGCCAGACGCCCGCAATGAAAGCTGATCTCGTAACGTGTTGAGATAAGGCTAGAATTCCCCCTATGGCCGGTAGTATGCTGAAACCATCGTCGAGGGCCGTAAGACAAAGCTCTCGACTATATTCGAAATCCACCTTAGTATCACATCATTGGACCCTGGCAGTGTTGTCGGGCGCAATGGCAAAGGGAATAACATCCCTGCTGGACACCGGGCACATGCAGATTATCGGGGCCCCACACCTCCATCCAGAACGAGTCCAATGTAGTTTAGCGTTCGGGTCAAAGCTCACTTCCCTGCAGACATCAGCCTTATGGGCCTAGAGGAAGTCTATGGTAAGTTCTTTGGACCCATGACTAAGGCACGGGCCTAAGCTTTGCGGAATGGACACAGGCCTGGCCACGAAAATTGTTTGACCTTATTCGCTTGACAGTTTTCCTCTGTATGGCGGCAATTGGACGTCGAAGCTGCTGATGCGGATTGCTCCTTGATCAAATGTACGTTGCGATAGATGAACGCTGTCAGTCAAGATTCTTGTGGCTTATTACGATGCGAATATGGTACTGAACGAAGGAGATAGTATGTAATGTTTAGAGACATTCCATGTGACGTGCGGCTATCATGTCTTGCAGAACTACATTACTTTTCGGCCAATGACCGGGATGAAACCGAGCCTATCTAGAAAATTATAGTTTGCCCGGGATCACATTACTTGGCATAGTTCCCGTTGCCAATCCTGCGACAGATTACGATGAACTTGTATGCTTCTGGCGCCTTGAATTAAGGTAGATGACCTCAAATCAATACAGGATCCGATACCGAACGGCAAGATACAAATCTACATAATAGCTACCTGTCAATACTGGTAGCTTATGGCCTCCCCCACATGTGACAAGATCCATTATAGAGGAAGTCTATTTATAGTGTTCCAGTTCACATGCCACTGCACGGACGATAGCATACTGTGCAGATTAGGAAACCCCTCTTCGATTAACCCACCCTTACCTTGTGCCAGGACCCTTGAGGGTCGGGGTATTTCGGCCTGATCGGCCCGTCTCGATCAAGTCTCGCGGCTCGCCCAATGGCCCTATCCACATCAGCGGGTCTAAAATGAATCGGAAACTGTCGTTCCTAGTCAACCTTACGACTATATATACTTTAACAAGTTAGCGCAAACACGGCCCGCAGGAGGGCTCATCCGCTGCACCGGTTATCGGGAGAATATCATCCCCATGTACCTAATCGCACGGCAACTGCATTCCAGACTCTTATGTCTAACTTTAATAGCCGCTCCTATCGCTGTATGATCTGCTGACAGTGCCGGGGACCCCGGAAACACAGATCTGACAGTTTGAGCATGCCTTGGCAGGACAATAATTCATCCAGATACATGAATTTCCTCGCCAAGACCCGGAACTAGGCCTGGTCGAGAATCTCATGTAGGAAGCTCTGGTCCTTCTGAATTCTGCCTCCTTTGAGAGTTCATCTTTCGTCGCAGCCAAGACTCATAGTCACGAGGCACTATACAGAGTAGTGCATAGGGCAGAAGAATCGGTCTTGCCGTGTTGTTACGTCTTGAGATGTTGAAGGGACAACATGCGAGTGATCTCGTACTGGCCATTGGACCATACGAAAGACACTAGAATGAGGTGGACTTGGAAAGTATAAAGGATCAAGTTATTCTCCCGTCCAAAGATGCATACTTCTCTCCTCATCACGATCATTTTACACTACAATACCATTCAGCTCATTCCTTCAAACATTCATTACCTACACTCATTCAAAACCAACCCTCATTTTACCAACACCAACAACACCACCAACACCACCAACACCAACACTATCAAGATGCACGCCTCTGCCATCCTCGTCACTCTCCTTGCCGCCACTAGCATGGCTGCCCCTAGCCCCGCCATTGCCAACCACGAGGGGGCGGGCGCCGGTCAGTTCATCGCCCGCCAGGACCCTAAGCTCAAGCAGGCTCAAGACAGACTCACGGGAGCTCGCAATGCTGCCATGGAGGCCATCGAGAATGGCGGTGGCAAAGGCCGCAAGCTCGGAGAGATGAACTGTGGCACTCTCTGCAGCCAATGCCAGACTGGCGCCGTCACGTCTGCTGTAGGAAAGATTGCAATCTGCGGTACCGCTGCGCTGGGTCTTGCTGTCGTTAGCGGCCCTATCGGGATCTTCCTCGACGTTGTCGGATTTGCCGGCTGCGAGGCCGAGGCTATCGGAGAGCTGAACAAGTCTGAGGCCGAGTGCCAGACCATCGTCGGCTAAGGGACATGGAGAGGTCGGTCACAGGAAGCTCGCTATCTTATGTAACAGTAGATTGTACACGGTTCGAATTTGTTTTGCTTTTTGTTTATAGAAATTGGGATCCCATTTGTGTTTTACTTTTCGGTGGTCTACCTATGTGAATGCGTGATTGTCTTCCTCCCATGAACGGCCGGGCTGTAGTTCCATCATTTGCGTCGTGTGCATTGCTTGAGATGGAGCGGTGTTAGAGAGTACGTGTAATGCCAAACTAATGTTTAAGCAACATCTCGGGTTGAGTAGAGAGAATACGGAAGGTAAGACGCTACCCAGCAATTTCTCGACGCGTGCATCAATATAACCTGAGTAACAACTAGTCTTGTGAAGGTTTGTGCATCTTTGCACTCACCTATAGTAACAGAGCCGCAATTCTATCAATAATATTCCCTTTTACCGTTCTACCTAGTTTATCTTCGAGCTATTTGGCCATATACTCCCCATCAGGCCTCTCATATTATTCTTTATCCAGTCTTCTACTTCATCCAGAATATTGAGCATCCATTTTCCTAGCTTCTCGCACTCGTCATCCAGTTTACTAGTATAAAAAGCCAAAGACTCAATATTATCCGTAGTCTCGACTTGACGATTTACAGCATGCGTAGTTGGTTTGAGAATAGAAAAAGCAGATCAGATATCCTATCCCGCAAATATTTTCGCTCTGTACACTGGTCATTCAGACTCGTCCCCCTGAGAAGTATGACCTGCACCAAAGAACAGGATTCAGCTTCATTGGGCGCAAGCGGGGTTTACTTTTCTGAAATGTGTTTAAGTTCCCAAGTTCTAGTTCTTTCTGTATTTTGGAAACTAAAGGATGCCGTCGACGGGATTGGGCTTTAGGCCTTTTGGGTGTCTATAACCTAGCTAGAGATATAGGTAGAGCTGGCCGTTTCAGAGGTGGCTCGGTTATTGGTCTACAGCATCTGACAACACTCCGAGGGCAGTCCATCTACGGTGATGATTTCACCTGTGTATAACGCTATGCAACAACCAAGGCAAAATAGTGACTCCAGTGTGTCGCCGCGACGGTGCAGTACGGGCGAAGTAGATAATGGTGTCTCATGTAATCTTTCATCCCAGCTACCTTAGAAGTAGACATTGCTTACACTATCAACGATTCCATCCCGCAGAGTCCTCCATCCCTCCTGACCTGCCCATTTCTTCAACAAGCTAAGGCCTTCACTCTGGTCAATCGACACAGCAAGATGGAAAGTCTCTAGATAGTCTTCTATGAAGGCGTGGTCTGGCCGCGTCTCTCTTAAAATAGCCAAAAACTCGTTCCAATGAGCGCTGTTGCCCCAAGCCTGCACACGGGCTTTCTGAACAGCCGGGTCAAGCATGGCTGCCACGTGGAGCAATGCAACGTCCTTGACATCTACATAATAGGCTGTTGCCTGTCAATAATTTCCTTGATCCGTGTCAATATGCTCCATGTTACTCACCGGCAGGGTAGGGATCCAGGAGGCTCCTTTTATTGTTCCAAATGTGGTTGAGCCAGTTGGACTTTGCCTCAGCATGCTTTCTGTGCAAAGGCTCCCCTAACACACCAGACGGATTGATCGAGTTGACGTTGTAATGAGGCTGTTTTTCGCTGACAAAATTCCAGACAGCTTTCTCAGCAGTGACCTTGCTTGCCGCGTATGTGGACATGCTGCGAGAAGCCTCGTAGGGAGGTGGCGCCCACGCAGCTTCGACGGCGGCTTCGTTCCAGGTATGTTGTGTAACATGCGTCGTATCCCGAGCCCGCGGCAAAATGAGGGCCACAAAAGAGCTGGTATACACAACCTCCTTGACGGATGGCTCTTCGGCGGCTGCCTTCAGCACCGATAATGCTCCATCAACAGTTCCAGGAATGACCTTCCTCGGGTCGGGGTCGAGACTGGTAATAGTTGCCAGGTGAATGATTCCAGAAACTCCTTTCACAGCTTCGTCGAAAGCACCTTTCGCGCCTAAGTCAGGGACTTCAACGAGTTCAAATTCGCCTCGATCAACATGTGACTTGAAGAGCTGATCAATAAGCCACGATGCCTGGACTAGGTTCCGAACCGAACCGCGGACTTTGTAATTGCGCTTCAAGAGTTGACGGGCTACATGGCAGGCGATAAAGCCTGTAGCGCCGGTAATGAGCACCCAGGAGCCGGCGGGGATGGTTGTGTCCTTGGTCGATTGATGCATATTGAGAGGTTGGATTGACTGTTCCGGCTGGACGCAGCGGATAGAAGGCAGTTAGATGCCACATAAAGACAGTCTGAAAAGAAAAAAAGTTCTTTAAATGGACATAACTACTCGCGCAAGAAAATAATGACACCATCGGGGAATTGAAACGGTACAATACCGAAGCTAACCTCCAAGAAAGCAAAGAACCCGACATTCGGCCCTACAGGTATATGAGCCCAAGTGCCTTCCTGAAGCGATTATTCTTCGCGCTGAAAGCTAGGGGGACAATTTATCCTAGTAGCCGTTTTTAGCAAATCCAGGATCTGATTTTTATGTATCGTTCGTCCTCGCATGCTTCCCTGAGGCCGAAGGCGGGCCTCACTTTTTCGCCCGAGCCCGTTATAAAATGTTCGCTGTTCAGTACGGAGTTTAGAGTCCTAGATCCGGTAGTGGATCTTTCCACTAATTTGGCACGCTATGTGCTATGAGGCTCGCACAAATTACGTAGTGGATCATTACGCAGACCGTACATTCTGTGACGGATGGCAGCCGTACTGCCAGAAGCTGGAACTGTACCGTTGAGCGATGTATTCAAAAGAGAGCCCCTAACTTGTGTGGGGCTATTCCGAGTAAGGTACATATGTAGTTCCGTCACGTAGCAACTTGTGTACCATAGCCGAAGCTATAGGAAAAGGTTGTGCTTGACGAAAGGTCGTGTTTGTTGTCACTGTCTTTGGCCTAATTCCTCCATAACCTTGGAGATAATGACAAATAGGTTCTTTGCTTGGTATGTATGGTGCTTTTTTGCTTAGATTTCAGACATTGAATTTGAGGTCTCTTGCTGTCCGAGTCCAGATTTATGGGCAACGTTAAACTACTCAGAGTGCTTGGCTGAAGTTGGGATATATTACCAGCAGTGTTGACAGGTCTACTGTTGACGGAATTTGGCTATCCAAAATGCCTTCCGAAAGCCGCTTCCACCCTTGACGGCATTTTGGCTGCTGCTGACGTGGCTAATGGTGTTTAAGACCGCAATGCATCGCCGCTAGTGAGGCCGATCTCATCTGGTTCCCTTTCGATCACCCACTCAAGTCTTCACCTGAGCCGTAGCTTCTTTCACAGCAGGAGTGTCGACTTTAAACCGTAACCAAAATGGTTATGGCATGCTTTCATGACTCTTCAAGCTTGGCCAACGATTATTGGTGTTGTGTCATTCTTGTACTTACTGCTGCGGACTGCTACCGGCTCAAGCTGGCAGTCTGCCTGACATAATTTCAAGCACGTTGAATTTTCATGGATACTTCTACATGATGAGTTTGCTCTTTGAATTTGTCTGAGATGTAGAAGCGTTAGCATATGTACAACGCCAAGTGGACGTATCAGGAACGCCCCTCGTATCATCTGAAGGCCTCTGCGCATCTAAAACAGCGTGTCGAGTTAGATAAACGCACCTCAGGCATTACGATGCTGGCTCATCACTTTCCGGCAGTTCCATAACGCCTTGTCATGCTTCAAACTCCTCTTGCTGATAGTTATGACACTTGCCAGTTGGCGAGCTTCTTCTGCCAAGCCCATGGCAAACTTTGCATCACAAAAGCCCAACATGCATCTAAAGACGCTCCAATTTTATCGTTTGACTCTGATTTGAGCATGAAGCGATTCGTTTCCCACATAGTCTCCGGTCATTCGGTCAGAAATTCGAACTCAGACGTGTCGTGACTCTATCTTAAACGAGCCTAAAACCCCCGCTTTCACTGCTCGACGACAAAATTGAGACGATGGCCGTGAGGAACGATCATTATTTGAACCAGGTTACACTTGTTTATGGTTTAATACCATCTTTCACTTCGATAATCAAATATATTGACCAGGGCGGACACGTAAAACAAGTAGCCGTCAGCGGTGACAAATGTGGCTGATGTGCGAAAGTGTGGTACACACGCGTTGGTCCCGTTGGCCCCGTTGGCGATGGGAACTCCATTATGATATTCTTGCCCGACTTCCTAATACTCGCACTTCAATCAAGCGTCCAAACGGTCTTTGCACACAACTGTCTTCTTGTCGCCAGATTGGCTATCTGCTCTGTCATTTGCTCTTGAGTAAAAGCAGATACTTGCAGACCATCAAGCTGACAGGCTTCGTTGGAGTACCCGTTCCGCGTGCTCCCACGCATTATGTTGATTGGCATAAGCAGTCCATCCTCGAAACTCATTGGCTGATTGGGTTAGTTGGGATCACAATTTCGGGCATACAGTACGTACGAGTGGGCTGGCCTCTTTGCGAGTCGCCTGCATCTTGTCCATTTCTACGAGCGTAATCTTGAATGCGGTCAGCTCTTTCTTTGCGACAGACCTGCAGCAACTTGAGCCGCTCTGGGACCTCTTCTGCCAGAGTGCCCCGCCGTAGCAGAATAGCGAGGGTGACAGCATCTTCAATTGCCATTGCAGCGCCCTGACCCATAACTTGTCTTGTCAGCCGATAGTCGTTCAACTTTTGATCGAGTACACTCACACGGTGTGAAGGGGTGGCAAGCATCGCCTATGAGGGCGAGGCGACCTTCAGACCATTTCTCAAGGGGTTCCATGTCCAACAAAGGCCACACCTTCAGATCTTCCTCGGGGGCCTGTTCCAGAACAGCTTTGGCTCCGTCACCGAAAGTCTCAAACGACTTCAGCATCCCCTTCTTCTTGTGCTGAGGAGATTCCGCTTCTGAGGCCCGTTAGTGAACACGCACCATACACTTGAGAAGATAACCAACCAATGGCAGCCGCCTCCACCTCTTCGCTCGGTACAATGGCGACCAGGTTCAACATCTCGCCATCGGCACAAGGATAGCAGATGATACGGCGATCATTTCCCATCCATTCCGTCAAGGAAATACCGAGTTTGGCATACTCCGATGTTCGGTTGTCATCGGCCATGGTGCTCCTCGGAGATAGCCAACGGTAGCAATGCTTTCGAAAAGGGAATACCTTCTTGTGAGCATCGATGTACTGCCGGGTGAATGACTGCCTTTCATTAGTCGCGACGCCACTTTTGGTACACAGAGTTCTTACGTGGACACCATCAGCGCCGATAATCGCGTCGCCATGATACTTCCGTCCGTCGGACAGCGTCAGCTGGCCGTTCTGGATATCTAGAGATGTAATGTCACAACTGAGGTGTAGCTGAACCAGCTCGCTGCCGGTATCTCCTTGTTGCAGGACTTGGTGCTTAAGGGCTGAGTGGAGATGCGCTCGGTGGATGAAGTAAAACCTCTATTCTCATCAGTTTTCGACTCTTCATGCGAGCAGGTGCGCGCAACTCACCTCCGATTGGAGTTTGGACGGAATTTCCTGCTTGACGAGGCACTTGCCAGCCGAATTGTACATAGTCCACTGTTTATACCCATTTAGCAACGTCTTCTGCAGGATATGACCAAAGTTGACCAAAGTACAAACCAGGTTGCAGATGCTGGACCCGTGTTCCTCCGGCTCGAAACCAATCTTTCGCAGGATAGAGGTACAGTTTGCTGCTAGCCCAATGGCTGCACCGATTTCCGCGGCGAACTTTGACTTCTCGAACACCTGAAAGCATCTGGTTAGATAATAGACCGCGCCGGAAGAGAGGTCGATGACAAACCAAGACTTCGTGGCCTTCGCGGCTCAATGCCAACGCGGCGGTGAGACCGCCTATACCGGCTCCAACGATGAGAACACGAAGCTTTTGGCCTTCCATGATGACACTGTGCTTACTGCGCAACTTGTTGGACGTCGCAATTGCCCTGCAGTCTGGTTTATTCACATCCTACTCCAGTTCTTATATCGATTTGTATGCCGCATTGCAATTCAGGGACATATCTGAAATGTACCTGGGGTGGATATCTCTCATGTCAAAAATTCGACTCGTTGGGAACAAGACTTTGTCGGACCGATTGCCACCGCTTCATATCGGTGTACACTTGTTTCCACCTTCCCGTAACACCTCCGCCTGATCCTGAATACCGGAAATTGCGTGCAATGGGAACCTAATCAATTCTTGACTTTGTGCCTTTCCAGAAGCTGTTGAAACGACCCTGATTGGAGGCCGGTTTGGGAGCATTTCAGGCCATGCCGTTACTATAGATGCAGGTGCATGAGAACCGCGCAACCTCAAGCTAGCAGCTCGGTTTCGCGAAATCCTAGTCATAAGAAGTGGAGTGGATAGATTTGCTCTCTCCTCTTGTAAGCTCGCCTTCTCGATAGAAAAGCATTGTAATATTAACTGCCTAATTAGGTAGTTATAACCCCGTTGGGAGCGCCTCTGAAACCTGAATAGGGAAATTTTTAAGAAAGAACAGCGAGGCTCATTCCTGTAAATACCTGGACGCCTGGTCGTCTCGTGTCTGTCTGGTGGCACTAGGGTTCCACAGGTGACTACAGGGGCTGAAATCATTGAACGTGCGTCACGTACCTTAACCCACCGTCGCGTAGCCTAGATCACCGCCTCGGTGCTAATCACAGTGAAGACCCACCATGGGCCATGATTAACCAATTGCCAGGATCAAAGTTGATCGACAAGATCCTGGCTAGCGCGGCGAAAGTCTAGAGCCATCTTGATGGAGTAGCGTGGCGGAGATAGCTTCATATATTCCCGCTTAGTCACGTATGTATGTGTTCCAAAGCCAATGACTGAGACCTGCGAGCGCGACGTTGCGAGCAAATGGAGATAACAACTATGTCCGGCTTTCAACGGCTAGACACGAAAATGGTCTCAAGTTGGCGATGTTGCATATATCACAAAGCACTCGCACGACTTTGCTATAGTCCAATGACCAATTACCCATACTATGACAGCCGATCACACTTGACGCCTTCGTCGTTGTTCACTTTCCTTCATCCTCACCTCCGCCCCTATCCACCATGATGAATGGTGAACGGGATGTCGAAAAGGCGGCCTCTGCGACCAACCACAAGGCGTTTCTTTCTTACCTATACGATGCTGCTGGCGTTACCCAAGAAGTGTCAGATTGGTCTTACCAGGGTCATGGCACCCAAAGCGACCCTTTTGTTGTCGAATTCCTGGTAGCGGATTCTGCCAACCCATTACAGTTGCCAAGCTGGAGGAAATGGTCTATCACATTCCTCCTAGCGTTTGCAGTTCTAGCTGTAAGCTTTGCATCTAGTTCATTTTCTAGCGGCATACCATACATCGTCGATGAGTTCAACGTTAGCCGCATGGTGGCTCTACTCGGAGTGTCCTTGTTCGTTATAGGCTTTGCTTTGGGGTGAAGTATTGCCAGCTGCATACCATTGAATTCAAATGACTAACCAGCCTCATATTGTTGCAGACCACTTGTATTCGCACCCCTCTCGGAAATGTTCGGCAGACAACTCATATTCGTTATTACCTTTGGTGCGCTGACGGCGTTCAATGCTGGCGCCGCTGGATCGAAGAACATTGAAACTCTGCTCATTTTGCGCTTTCTAGCTGGGACGATTGGGTCGGCACCTCTGACAAATGCCGGCGGAGTGATTGCTGATATGTTCTCGGCGGACGAACGAGGCTTGGCCAATGCTCTCTTCGCAACGGTGCGTCTAGATAATCCCTGTATGACCCGCTTGACTGGCCTGCTCGGTTATGTGCTTTGTTCATTGTGCTTGCCTTTATTTTCACCTGCTGACGCCAATGTGAGCCAGGCCCCTTTTCTTGGACCGGCTGTAGGCCCAATCGCAGGTGGCTTCCTGAGCCAGGCCAAGGGCTGGCGATGGCTTCAAGGCCTGATGGCCATCTTCACTGGTGTTCTTTGGATCCTCGGTTCACTTTGGGTTCCTGAGACTTACGCCGCCGTAATCCTGCGTCGCAGGGCAGAAGTTCTGTCCAAAATTACCGGCCATGTTTACGTCTCTAAATTCGATGTTGGTCACCCCAACAAAGCATTGCTCGCAGAGCTAAGAAAGGCTCTGCTACGACCATGGCAACTCTTGTTTTTGGAGCCTATCGTTCTGCTCTGTTCTATCTTCCAAGCTGTCGTTTTTGGGACCTTATACATGATGTTCGCCGCTTTTCCGATTGTTTTCCAGCAAACCCGTGGTTGGTCCAACGGCGTTGGTGGTCTTGCATTTCTGGGTGTCGCCATAGGCATGATGTTTGCTGTTGGGTATAGCGGCTACGACAATATTCGTTACATCAAAGTCAACAAAAGCTATGATGGCGGTGCACCTCCGGAAATGAGACTACCCCCTGCTCTGATTGGATCAGTTCTCCTACCTATCGGCCTGTTCTGGTTCGCCTGGACGAACGGACCAAACATTCACTGGATCGTTCCCATTGTCGGATCGGGCTTTTTCGCGGCTGGTCTTGTCCTGGTTTTTTTAAGCCTGATGAACTACCTGGTCGACTCTTGTGAGTATTCGGTCTTTTTGTACATTTTCCCACGAAATGGAGACGTCTAACGTTGTAGATGTCATATACGCTGCCTCCGTTCTCGCCGCGAGCTCCGTCTTGCGAAGTCTTTTTGCCGCAGCGTTCCCTCTTTTCACCACCAATATGTACCATAGCCTTGGCATCCATTGGGCAAGTTCTGTTCCGGCTTTTCTCTCCCTTGCCTGCGTTCTGTTTCCGTTTCTGTTTTTCAGGTACGGAAAGTCGATTCGGTTGCGATGCAAATATGCAGCTCAAGTTGCCTGATGTTGTGTCCCTTGAGGGTTGAGGCGAAAACAACTCGACTTCGAGGTCTAAGTTGAATTAATTGAGGGCAAAACCGCAAAGTTGACCAAGTTCATCGTAACTTGGGTATAAGGAAATAATCAAGCGTGGGGCGACCCCTTTTCACTCAAAAAGGGAGACTTCTCCGAATGGTATATGTAAATATTCTATAATCAGTCTAGACAACTTGTACAATTGAGCTTAGCCTAGAATTTGAGTTGGTCAAGAGCGGGTTTCTGCACGCTGACTGTATTGATGACGAAGTTGATTATTGAGGTTGTAGTGAGTGAAGTGTTGAGGAGGCTGATGAATGAGTCGATAAGCTTTGACTTTCGAGTTTGTCGTTTGCATTTTATCAACGCCCTTTAATTCATGAGGCATATCGCCGTTACTAAAACATGCCTAGGCTAGGACACAGCTGAGTTTTAGCCTACCGCCACATTCACCAGCTGAATAAGCTTGGGATTGGCTGCGCCATCATCAAGATTCCAACCGGACTGGCTTGGAAACAGAACATAATTACCGGCGCGGTAATGCCTTATTAGTATTAGCTTCTTCTCACATCGCAAAATGCGAATCTCATGAGAGTCAGATCAGTGATGTCGCGCAAACCTTGTCATGCACTTGAACGAATCACAGCCCCCCAGTCCGCTGGAAAAGAGTCGCAAGAGCACCACTAGCCAGCTATGCCATTCCACAAGCTCCGACGCCGTTGCTGCGAAAGATATAGATCAATTATAGTTCTCTATCGTCGAACATGTTACAAGGGCTGAGGTATGCTGCGCCATCTTCCGGTATAGCGAGATGTACCGACTAAACTAGGCAACCGCTGCAAAGCCAACCCTTAGACCTGTTCTTAGAACGATAGCTGCAATATACTGATGAAGGATATTAGACATTGACTTGAAGGCATTCGCAGGCGTATTTCTGACTTTGCCTGGCCAAGAGGATCAATCTGAGATGCTAGTAGCCATATTCAAGACTATTTATTTACTTAAACCCTCTCAACTTCCCTCTTCCACGTAGAGTTAGTACACTTTATAGAACAGAATTTAGGTCCAAGTCTTGAATCCCTGACTAGACCGTGATGTCTCAGATAATTCTACGCCTAGGCCCAGAACGACCAGTGTGGCAAAAAGCAAAATCGTTGGTAATGATGAATCAGTCATTCTCTATCCCTATTCTGCGCTATGCAATTACCCCTGAAACAGTCCAAACGGCCTGTGCATAGTATATAAGAGTTTTAAAGGTATGATTTGCTCTAAAGGCTTAACCCGCACTTTCTACTTTTGTGCCTTTTAGTAGGGAGATTGAGAGTTTTATGCGAATTTTTTAAGTTTTACTTCCCTTAGTCCGTATTAAAAGTAAGAACGAAGCTATATAACTAGCCGCTAACTAACTATAAACCGACCTTATTTAATATAAAGCTTACTTCGGTTTTTGTGCCTATTCTCGTTTCCGGGGCAACGTTATTGTTACTCCCGAGGGACGAGTCTTCTACAGCGAGTTATTGTGCTTTCAAGTCTTTGAGTACATGGCCTGTTTGGTCTTGTGCTACAATGAAAAATAGGTCGCAGGGTCCTAGTATGGGAAAGATACAGGAGGCGAATGATGAGCGACGGTGCCACGGGCGACTATGAGCTAATAATTTAAGATAGAATGCCTATATGAGTATCACCTATTATGGTTAATAACGATAGATTAGACAGCCAGCACTATTACTAATAGATTAATATGCTACTAATGTATATATCTTTCTACACCCGGCGGATAACAATATCGTCTAAGAGAGTATAAAGATTAATAAAGGAGGTTATAAATAGCATACAAGTGTTCCTAGACTATAGCTATTGAGGAGGTAGACATTATAAAAGGAAGTATAGAAACTAACGCGATTAGGTAAAACTAGCCCGTAAATATCGTTTATTTTTAGGAAAAATTATAAGTAATATAACTAATACGGGTATTAATATAGTTAAATAAAACTAAGGTATAAGTGTTACTTATTTTTACGAAACGTAATAGATAGCGGAGCCGCTGCGGATACTAATATAACGGGGTGAAACTAGCCTATGAGTATCGCCCATTTCTAAGTAGTAATTGATGTCTAAAAGTGTGAGAAAGTTAAACTAATAATATAACCCCAGTGTATAAGTATTGCTTATTCTTGTGAATATTATGAAGGATAAGGCCCGGAAGCTAAGATAATGATATAGACTGCGCTAGTAAGTAGCGCCGATACGATAATTAGAGCGCAGAAGCTAACTAGTTAGCATAGGTCCAGGACGTAAGTGTGCTCCCCTATGAGAAAATGATCGACACAGACGGTGTCGAAGCTAATATGATGGGTTAAAAGAAGCCGGTAAGTTTGGTGTTGTCCGCAGATAGTACGGACACTAACAGTGTTATTATAGCCTCGAGTAAGTATCGTGTCAAGTCTCGCTGCTGAAATGTCTTACTGTGTCTTGATCCGAGACTTCTCCTTTATTCCCTACGTAGTAGGTTGCTTTTGTAAATGTCTACGTACAGAGTTGTGCACCATTATTTCCCAGGGAAGGCGGGGCTTCCGGTGAAGGGAGGTATCCTCGCTGGGTTCTGAACCTTTCTGCCTCTTTCTCTAATTATTGTGTCTTTGTCGCTCTGTCGTTTTGGGAATGCGACTCCGCCGGTAAACGGCGGGACTTTGGCTGCGTTCTTGACGCGACTAACACTCTCAACCCCACTGGACATAGAATTAGCACAAATATACTCTACCTGGAGCTTTCGCCAGACTTACATTGACTCAACGGGAAGTGCGCTAGCCTCGAAAAGAGATACAGCGATCACAAGTGTAGAGAAAAACTTCATGATTACTATCGTTTAGCTGCGACGTAAGTAGTTTGTTTTGGGTAAAGACAACTCTTTCTCAGCCGTTAGCGAAGTTCGTGAGACTTTATAGTATTCTTAAACATTAGATCGGCCTCGGTGTTTTACATAAACCCCTTAAAGACCGTGTTGCTGGTGCACACAAGGTTCAAGGCGACGTTTCTGTGTGTTTGGGAAACACGACTCGCGCTCCAATGTCGTTTCTAGTCGCCCGGAACGGCCGTTTTTCGCCGAGTGATCTCGAAATAAAGACGCCGGATAAACTTTAAGGCCTGATTCAGAAAGCACGCCAAGCCCAAAAATAGGTCTTGCAAACCATCCGAACTTTTGGGTGACCTCTGGAGATCATTGTAGGCCCAATATATCATTCCGGGCTGGTACACGTGATACAAGTACGACGAATCTTGGGTTTTTGATCCATCATGTCTTGGATGTCACCTCGAATGTCCGTTCAACACAGGGTTTGAACCCGGTCCGATCCTGATCCTCTGGGAAACATCTATAGAAGACAGACGCGATGATCGATCAATACTATTACCTCCATTACTTGGCACACTTGAATTGTAAATCATTAGTTGATCCTCAAGAACACGCCTTTTCATCCATAGTTCAATCGGATTGCATCGATGCTGTATCTACCACTACTTTTTGCCTGACATGCCATTTAAGCAAGTGACCTTGCTCGTTCTAGAAGCTCAATATAAGACATCAACCGCCTAGGCAGCTTCAGCGGCGGCAACTCCAGCACCCGTGGACAAGTTGGCTTTCTTGCCAGTTTCTTTGCCGTTACCTCCGTTCTTCTTCTTGCCGTCGTCAACCGCTGTACCGTTGTTCTTGTTTCCAGCCTGGTTTCCCTTGCCGTTATCCTTGCCCTTATTCTTATCGGCATTCGCGTTTCCATTGTTCTTCTTGCCATCCTTATCGTTGTTATTTTTGTTGGTGCCGGCATTGGCGCCGGCGTTGGCAGTTCCATTCGCCTTGCCATTGTTGTCCTTCTTGCCGTCGTTATTGTTCTTGCCGTTGTTCTTCTTCCCATCGTTGTTCTTCCCCTTTCCGTTGTCTGCGGCCGTACCATTGTTTTTGTTTCCACCAGCACCATTATTCTTCTTGCCGTTGTTCTTGTCGGCATTGTTATTTTTCTTTCCGGTGTTCTTGCATCTGCATGCTTTGCCCTTTGCGTCTTTGCCCCTCTTCTTTCCCTTGGCGCATCCTTGGCAATTGTTGTTGTTCTTCTTCTTGCCGTCGTTGTTGTTCTTCCCGTCATTTTTCTTGCCGCCTCCTGCCATTTGGTTAGCCTGATGATAATAAATGGTGCACTGTCAATTTCCTACCAGCAGTATTGTTGGCCTGACGTGCTATGAGCTCGCCAAAAGTGGCAGCCTCCTCAATGTCACGGGTGGTGAGATCATTCTCATCCTCCTCCTCTGCTCTATCTTCAATCGCAAATGGATGTAAAGTTGAATCTTGTTCGTCTCTATCAACAAGAGTAGGGCTTCCCGTGATGGCCTCAAGGTCTCGGGCAACCTCGTCGCGGGTAGCGATGAGACTCGCGTCTGGAATAGCTGCGGCTGCGATGCCAGCCAGGAAGAGAACTGAGATAGGCTTCATTGTCGTTGGAGTGAATGTGAGAGCCTTGAAGACTGGGTGAAGTAGGAATATGAGATGTCAAATATTTAGAAAGACGAAAGCTCAAGTGAAAAGAAAGGAAAGCGTCCGGCGCAATGAAGCAATCTGGCTGCTGATGGTGTGATGATGGTTTCAAGGCCCAAACAATTCATGGGAATATCCTAAGCTTTATAGAATCTATCGGTATAGAGTCGATGGACAGATATGAGCATCGCAATCAGCCACATATCGAGGTGTGCTGGCCTGACGCCCCTCA